AATGTTTGTTAGAATTCAGCAGTGAATCCCATCTACTCCTGGGCTTTTCTTTGTTGGGAGGGCCTTTATTGCTGATTCAATTTCTGATTTAGTTATGGGTCTGTTTAGGTTTTCTATGTCTTCATGGCTCAATTAAGATTGTATGTCAATTTAGGTTGTATGTCTCGAGGAATCTGCCCATTTCTTCTAGGTTTCTCAGTTTGTTGGCATACAGCTCTGTGTAGTAATTTCTGATGATTCTTTTTATTTCTGTGGTATCTGTTGCTAAATTTCCTTTTTCATCTCTAATTTTATTGATTTGGGTCTTCTCTCTCCTTTTTTTGGTTAGTTGGCCAATGGAGTGTCAATTTTTTTATTTTTTCAAAAAATCAGCTCTTCATTTTGCTGATCTTTTGTATTGCTTTTTGGTTTCAATTTTGTTTGATTGATTTCTTCTCTAATTTTAATTATGTCTTTCCTTCTACTGGTTTTGGGTTAAGTTTGCTGTTTATTTTTTCTAGATCCTTGAGGTGCATAAATAGTTCATTTATTTGGTACCTTTCCATTTTCTTGTTGTAAGCACCAATTGCTATAAACTTTCCTTTTATCTATATTTCTCTTGTTTTCTGACAGGCAGAGTGGACAGTGAGAGAGAGAGAGAGACAGAGAGAAAGGTCTTCCTTTGCCGTTGGTTCACCCTCCAATGGCCGCTGCGGCCAGCGCGCTGCGGCCAGCGCACCGCGCTGATCCGATGGCAGGAGCCAGGAGCCAGGTGCTTTTCCTGGTCTCCCATGGGGTGCAGGGCCCAAGCACCTGGGCCACCCTCCACTGCACTCCCTGGCCACAGCAGAGGGCTGGCCTGGAAGAGGGACAACCGGGACAGAATCCGGCGCCCCGACCGGGACTAGAACCCGGTGTGCCTGCGCCGCTAAGGCGGAGGATTAGCCTAGTGAGCCGCGGTGCCAGCCCTATAAACTTTCCTTTTAACACTGCTTTTGCTGTATCCCACAAATTTTGGTATGTTGTATTGTCATCTTCATTTGTTTCTAGAAATTTTTTGCTATCTCTTTTATTTCTTCTATGATCCACTGTTCATTCACTAAAATGTTCATTCTCCATTTTTTTGCATATGTTGTAATGATTATTGAGTTGCTGATTTCTAGCTTCATTGCATTGTGATTCAAGAAGATGCATGGTATAACTTCAATTTTTTTTAATTTGCTGAGACTTGCTGTATGGTCTAGCATGTGGTCAATCCTAGAGAATGTTCCATGTACTGGAGAGAAATATACATACTCTTTGGCTGTAGGGTGGAAGGTTCTGTAGATATCAGCTAGGTCTATTTGATCTATGGTGTCGATTAACTCTGTTGTTTTCCTTAGGATTTTCTGTTTTGTTGATCTGTCCCTTGCTGAGAGTGGGGTATTGAAGTTCCCCATCACTATTGTATTTGGATCTATATCTCCCGTTAAATCTTTTAACATTTCTTTTAAATAGCAGGTACCCTGTGGTTGGGTGCATATACATTCATAATGGTCACATCTTCCTGTTGAATTGATCCTTTGATCATTATATAGTGTTCTTCTTTGTCTCTCTTGATGGTTTTTGTGTTAAAGTCTATTTTGTCTGATATCAAGATGGCCACACCAGCTTTATTTGGTTTCTATTAGCATGGATTATCTTTTCCCATCCTTTCATTTTCAGTGTGCAAGCATCTTTGTTGTTAAGATTTGTTTTTTGTAAGCAGCAACTAGATGGATTTCCTTTTTTAATCCGTTAAGCCAGTTTGTGTGTTTTAACTGGGGAGTTGAGACCATTTATAGTCAGTGTTACTATTGTTAAGTACTGACTTTGCCCTGCCATATTTCTCTAAATAGTTCTGTTTATGTACTTTGGATTTCATTTGTTCTTTTGTTGGGTGATTATCTACTTTTCCAGTGATGTTCTTGTTTCTGTGTGTAACACATGTTTGAACAACTTTCCTAGGGCTGGGCGAGTACTTACAAATTCTTTCAATTTATATTTTCTGTGGAAGATCTTTATTTCTCCTTCATCATAAATGAGAGTTTTGCAGGATACAGTAATCTGGGTTGACAGGTTTTTTTCTCTTAAGACTTGGAGTCTGTCTTGCCATTCTCTCCTTGCCTGTAGGGTTTGTGATAAGAAGTCTGGGGTGAGTTTAATCAGGTTTTCTCTGTATGTGATTTGGTGTTTCTCTCATGCACATTTTAGGCTCTTTATGTGTTACTGAGGAGAGCTTTGCCACTATGTGTCGAGGTGAGGTGAGGATCTTTTCTGGTCTGTCTGTTGGGAGTTCTGCATATTTCCTGGATTTGAATGTGTCTTTCTTTCTCCAGAAGGGGGAACTTCTATGCTATTATTTCATTAAAAAGGCCTTCTAATCCTTTCTCTGTTTCGATGCCTTCTGGAACTCCTAGGATCTGTATGTTGGATTGTTTGATAGAATCTTGCAGATCGACAACCTTGTTTTTCAATTTCCTGATTTCATGTTTTGTTTGGTCTGACTGAGTTATTTCCAGAAATGTGTCTTCTAGTTCTAACATTCATTCTTCTGTTTCATTTATTCTATTTCTGAGAATATCCACTGTATTTTTTATTTGCTTTATTGGATTCTTCATATCTAGAATTTCATTCTGATTTCTCTTCAATATCTCAATTTCTTGGGAACACTTTTCATTTAGGTCATGAATTTGTTTCTGATTGCTTCTAAGTAACCTGAAGATTAATTTTCTGAATTCCCTTTCTGGCATATCCTCAATCTCTTCTGCTTCTGTTATTGAAGAGGTGATGTAGTGTTCCATTCTGGGGCTAATACTGTCTTCTTTAGTCTTATTAAAATCCACCCCCCCACCTAGTTTTTCAGCATTTCTGGTTCCTTTTATCTTTAATACATATCGTGGTGCTGTTGGCAAGACTTCCTTCTGCTATGTGTCTGTGCATTGCCAGTGGAAATACATAACCCGGCCTCTGGAAGTCCTGCTCACTTCTGGATGGTGATGGGGGCAAATAGGAGAGCTCTTGTGCACTAAGCCCCACCTACTTGGGCCATGCTCTAGTGTGTGAAAGGAGCTAGGATTTCAATGTTTAGAACTTCTCCCCATTGTACAGCTCATGTGGCGGTGGGAGGGGATTACTCTGAAATATTGCGATCCTCATTCCCAGGTGAGTTGAGTGGGGTGTGGTGAAGTGGCCCCCACAATTGATGGGCATGTGCATGGGAGACAAATGCAGTAGCACCCTGTTTACATTAGGAGATGTAAACAGACAAAATGGCTTCTCCCAGCCAGCTGCAGGTCCAGTTGTGGGGAGGGGGAGATGCAGATGGGCACCTCAGAGGTGTGCCCGAGTTCTCTATCTATTCCCCTATTCTTCCCTCTTGGAATTTCAAGCACAGTTTACCCAGCTCTCCCACTTGCGACCTCATGCCTCACCTGGTCTGCCTGGGGAGGGAGGGAGGGAATGGCGTCACTCGTCCTGTTTTGCTTCTCCATCACACCTCTGCTGTGTCTCTGTGACTCTCTGCTCCCTCTGTGTGGTCCTACTCAGTCTCTGCTGGACTCCTGGGATTCTCTGCTCAAAACTAGGGCTCTGTCACCAGCCTGTATCCCCTTTCCTTATTAACAATCTATTTTCCCCCTGCAACTCAGAATGTCTTTTTGCTATACCGGCATCTTGGCTTCGCCACAAATAAACTCTTCATATTCTGATTTCATTTCGTTTAGGTAAATTCCCAGGTGTGGGATGGCTGGGTCATACGGTAGATCTGTTTTCAGATTTCCGAGGAATCGCCATACTATCTTCCATAGTGGTTGCATTAGTTTACCTTCCTACCAGCCGTGTATTAGGGTAGCTTTTCCCCCACATCCCCAGCAACTTTTATTATTTTTTGATTTGTAGATGATAGTCATTCTAACTGGGGTGAGGTGAAACCTCATTATGGTTTTGATTTGCGTTTCCCAGATGACTAGTGACCCTGAGCATCCTTTCATGTGTGTATTGGACATTTGTGTTTCATTCTTTGAAAAAACACCTGTTCGTATCCTCACCCCATTTCTTAACTGGATTGTTTCTTTTGTTGTTGTTGAGTTTCTTGGACTCCTTATATATTCTGGATAGCAATCTTTTATGAGGCACATAGTTTGAAAATATTTTCTCTCATTCTGTGTGTTGCCTCTTCACTTTGCCGAGAAGCTTCTTTACCTTGATGTAATCTCATCTGGCTGTTTTATTTTATTCCCTGTGCTTCTGGGGTCTTATCCAAGAAGTCATTGCCTAGGTCAATGTCTTGCAGTGCAGTGTTTCCGCTCTGTTTTCCTTTAGCAGTTTGATTTAGATTCTTGATCTCTTGTGAGTTGATTTTTTATAGGGTGTAAGGTAGGGATCTTGTTACATACTTTTGCATGTAAAGATCCAGTTTTGCCAACACCATTTACTAAAGAAATTTTCCTTTCTCCAGGGAGTGATTTTAACTCTTTTGTCAGAAATTAGTGAATTACAGACATATGAGTTAATTTCTGGGGCTTCTAATCTGTTTCATTGATCCACATGTCTATTTTTATGCCAGTGCCAGGCCGATTTGGTTAAAACTTGAAATCTGGTATTGTGGTACCTTCAGCTTTGTTTCTAATGTTCACGATTACTTTGGCTATTTGGGATCTCTTGTGTTTGCATATGAATTATAGATCTGAGAAGAATGTCCTTGGTATTTTGTTTAGAACCAATTGAATCTGTGAATTGCTTTGGGTAGTATGAACATTCTGGTGGTATTAATTCCTCCAATTTATGAACATGAAAGCTTTTTCCTTTTTTTGTTTTCTTCTACTTCTTCTGAAGTTTTTTAATTAAATATTCTATTATTGAAATAACTTTATTTTTAAGAGAGGTGGGGACATTCAGTGCTCAGAGAACAATACCTGTCTTGGGGAGAATGGGTGTAAGTATGGCATGATAATGACTGAAGCCAGATCTGTTTCTCAATGTGCCTTCCCCCTTTCTTGTAGATGGAAGTCCTTACACTTGGTGGGTTGGCAAAGCCAATGAGAAGCACTACTACTGGGGAGGCTCCGGGCCTGGCATTCAGAAGTGCGCCTGTGGCATTGAGCGTAACTGCACAGACCCCAAGTACTACTGTAACTGCGACGCCGATTACAAGCAGTGGTGAGTACCACCTGCCATCAGCTCAACCAAGGGCAACCCCTTCCCGCCCCGGCCCCGGCAATGTGCCTTGACATCATGCTAATTAGATAGAGGGGGAAGTTTGAAAAGTGCTGGAAAAAAAAAGAGAATGGGTAAGAAGGTTTGGAACTCACCCAGCTGACAAATTTCAGGAAGATACTGAAAAATATAAAAGCAGAAAGAGGTCAGTGTGACAAGGGTTTGCCTTTAGGAATGGGCTGACACATAATTGATGTGTTCATATTTTATTCAGAAAGGAAAATAATGAGCCATGATGTAGACAGTGATTTGCATTATAAAACATGCTGTGGAAGAACAGAGAGAGTGGCCTGGCAGCAAGCCCATATGTGTGCAGGGAGGGTGCCTGGTCAGTGATGTCTCCTGGGGAGTGCTACCACCTGCTGTGATGTTTGCTTTGAGTCTCAGGACCAAAACAAAACAGAACAACAGCCTCAGTGGGGGGTAGGGATCATTCTTTGCTCCTGTCTACAGCAAGTGCTTACCTGTCTTTCCCTTCACTGCACTGTGTATAACTGATACAAATCAGTTCAAGAAAGATCTATTTTGGGTTTCTTTCATCCCTCTGCTGGCTTTTGTCCTGCTTTGCAGCAAATGGCTAGGTCTGCTTCAGTAGTAGAGAAAGATAAAATCAGCTGTCATTCCCTGTTGTTGTTTTTTTGTTTGTTCGTTTGTTTAAATAAAAGGCCCAAAAGTTTAAGGAGAAAGGATCTAAACTTTAGTATGTTTCCCCCCAGAAGCGCACGATGCAGCGCTGCCTTCCTACAGTTTTAGAACCCGGAAGGGCTCTGTGTGCTGGGTCCCCGCCTCTGCACAGTTGAGCCCTGGGTTTCCTCGTGGGCCGCGTCTGCTTCAGTCTGCCTCCTGCCCTACGCTGTGGGCAAGGACAGTTTCTAAGACATGTTCATCCTGCCAGTGAACTGAAAGCAAATTCTCAGAATGTAAAGCTATGTGACGCGCAGGTAGGCTGTTGTCAGAAGGCACAATTGCAACAAATTGGGTTATAAATTTAATTGGCTTTTGGCAATTCATGAATCAAGGCAGCCGCCATTCTAGGAAATGATGAGCGCCCCCACTGGGCACTAGCAGAGCAATGGTTTCATAAGGCAGAAACACTGAACAACAGAGGAAGAAAAACCCGACTGCTCACATCACATTACTTCAGCTGACTTTTTCGTAAGGGATAAAGCGGAGGAGATTTTCTTATCATGCCAGCCAAAACTGGATTGCTTGGGTACTGGACTACTGTATCTCTTTCTCCTGATGTCTCAGACAGTCTGATGAACAGCTTAACTATGGCTGGCTGGCTTGGAACCTCAGCATGAGCAACTCCCATTTGGTTTGGTCTCTTGGGCCTGGTGCACTCCGAAACTATAAATTTTATTTAACAATGTCTACTCATTTTCCAAAACCCATGCTTCTTTTACTAGCTGGAATAAATCACCAAAGCTGTGCATTTCAATGGCTTAAAATTTCTGTGTGTAAAATACTTGTACAAAGCTATCATTCATTTTATTAAAAAAATACATTATATATATTTATATATGTGTGTGTGTGTGTATTTGAAAGACAGAGAAACAGAGAAAGAGGGAGAGAGAGAGAGAGAGCAAGAGAGAAATCTTCCATCTGCTGGTTCACCCCTCAAAAAGCCACAATAGCCAGAAGTAGGCCCTGCCAAAGCCAGGAGCCTGGGACTCCAACTGGGCTTCCCATGTGGGTGGCAGTGACCCAAGGACTTGGGCCATCTTCTGCTACTTTCCCAGGGAGCTGGACCAGAAGCACCATTCCAATGTGGGGTGCTGGCATTGCAAGCAACACAACACCAGCTGCTTTATTTGTAATTAATTATAAAGAGAACATGCTACTCAATTTTATATGAAAGATATCTATACACATATACACATAGCCGTGTGCACACCCTATAGAAAGTCTGGAAGCCAAGAGAAAGCAACTGAAAGGGCCCGGGTTTTGAAGTTAACTTCTCATTCTTTCACTGTCAGTCAGTCATTCATTTAATATTGATTGGGCATCTACGTGTCAGAGACTCCACTTAGCCCCGGGGATAAAGCAGTGAATGACACGAGCAGGAAACTCGGCCTGATTCATGTTGTTGTCATTCTTCACCATCTGTATGTTGTACAGCAAGTCTGGCAGACTGCCGCTGTGATCCATCCATTTGTGTATTCTGTCTTGACTCCTGCCTGGGCGGGGAGTTGCTCTGAGTGCTGCCTCCCTAACCAGAACTGTCCCAGCTGGTTCCTCATGCAGGCAACCTGACACATGCTGCCTCCACCACCACTGCTCCATCCTTCTTGCCCCTCACGGAGGAGAGCTGAGGGTCGCAGGGAGAGGAAGACCTACTGCCTACGCCCCAGGGCAACCTGCTTCTATCAGATATCAGCATAAGAGCTCAGGGATACAGTGATCCCCAGAACATGGCCAAGCACTAGCTGAAGGGAAACACACAGATGGACAGCACAGGGGTCAGCACTGTGGCTCAGTTCATTGCAGCAGTGGCTTGCAGCACTGGCGTCCTGGTTGGAGGCCCAGCTGCCCCACTTCCCATCCAGCCCTTGCTAATGGCCTAGAAAAGCCACGGAGGATGGCCCAAGTGCTTCGGCCCCTGCACCCATGTGGGAGACCCAGAAGAAGCTCCTGGTTCCTGGCTTCGGGATTGGCGTAGCTCCGGCCATTGCGGCCATCTGGGGAGTGAACCAGCAGATGGAAGATTCATTCTTTCTCTCTCTCTCTATCTATCTCTCTCTACATCTCTATCTCTATCTCTCTCTTAAATTCTGCCTTTCAAATAAATCAATAAATCTTTTTTAAAAATGCCCAGCATAACACAGTCAGTGTCAGAGGATCCCACAGGGACTGATAGAAGAGAATGTCAGCCTGAGGTAGTGAAGACAAGTAAGGACATCTCAGAGAAAGAGGCATGCTCAAAAGAGAAGTCTGCCTGGCGCACGCTTCCTTGCCCGGTGGTCTTGGAGGAGTAGCATGAAGGAGCTAAGTCAGTGCAGTAGGTCTGGAACGACCCCTGCAAAGGAAAGGAGGAGCCACAGGCAGGCTAAGTATGTGAGCACAAGGGCACCAGGGCCTCCCTTCTGCTCAGGGGCTCAGAAGTTTGGACTTCCTGCCGAAGCAGCCCTTTAAGGCAGAGGCAAGAGAATGCTGCAATCGCCCTTGAAAACCATTGAGGACTTGAGACAAAGGATGGCAGGATATGCAAAATGAGGGAACACATTTGAAATATTTGCGAAATGATATCCATAGGATCTGATGTTGATGGCTGGGAAAGGAAAGAGGAGTCTGGGTGGGCTCCTAGAAATGGAGTGGATGGAAAGCCATATATCAAGCTCAGGAGAGGGGGTGGGTGTTAAGTTCAGTTTGTAAAATATTAAGTTTGAGGCCCAAGCCTAATTTTTCTGTCTAAATCCAGAGGGGCACCATCAGTAGAATTACAGGTAACACATATAGATTTTAGAGAAACATACTTGCCTCTGAAACATTTCAAAAATACTCTATTTATTTATTTATATTTGAAATGCACAGAGACAGACAGAGACCTCCAGTCTGCTAGTTCACTCCCCAAATGCCCCAGGCGGAATCCAGGAGCTAGGTACTCAATGTGGGTCCCTCACATGGGTGGCAGGGGCCCAAATATTTGAGCCATCACTCGCTGCCCCCGAGGGTACACATTAGCAGGAAACTGGGATAGAGAGCAGAGCTAGAATTTGACCCCAGTGCCTCTGAAATGGGGTAGGAGTATCCCCAGCAGCAGTGTCAGTGTTGTGCCACCCCTATCCTCCCCAGCTCACCCCAGATCACATTTTAGAAAACCTACTACAGGACATACCTAATTCATCCCCACTCTGGCAAGCTTTTTTTTTTTTTAAAGATTTATTTAATTTATTTGAAATACAGAGTTTCAGAGAGAGAGGTAGAGACAGAGAGAGTGAGTTCCATCTGCTGGTTTACTCCCCAAATGGCCACAACAGCCAGAGCTGGGCCATTCCAAAGCCAGGAGCCAGGAGCTTCTTCCTGGTTTCCCATGCAGGTGCAGAGACCCAAGCACTTGGGCCATCTTCTGCAGCTTTCCCAGGCCATAGCAGGGAGCTGGATCGAAAGTGGAGCAGCCAGGACTCGATCCAGCACCCATATGGGATGCCGGCACTGTAGGTGGTAGCTTTACCTGCTACACCACAGCACCGCCCCTCTGGTAGGCTTTTGATTAAAGTACGTTTCACAGTTACACAGAGACTTGGTCACTGCTGATGTCTTTCTTACTTATGGCTGAGTAGTAACCAAGACATCCTTACTTCTTTGCTTCTGTAAACTTTCTCTGACATCTCGTAACAGGCACTCTATGAGGGGTTTACAGAAAACTTACAGAAAATGTGCATTATGAAAAAGGTATGCATGAATTTCAAAAATTTTTGCCACAAAATAAACATCTTTTAATTCCATTTGCCATGAACTTTTTGAAATATTCTCACGTTCTGAGCAGACCAACAATATTAATAGGTACATGTATAACAAACAGCTATTACAAGGCTATTCCCTATATAACCCAAGAAAGAAAGTGTTGGCAGATGTATTATTGGTCTTTAAATTCACCAGCACCACCTGACAAAGGGTCTCCCATGTGGACTTTTAAAATGTCTCAGAAGGGATGGGTTGCTCCTGGAGGCATGTCCCGCTTGTTCAGGAGCAGTGAAGAGTGAGCGTAGCTTGAAGCAGGAAGATCTTACATCCAGGCCCAAACTCGCCAATTTAGGACAGAGGCTTATAAGCAGCTTAAAACCTCCCTGAAACATAGATTTGTTGTCTGTATAATAACAATGAATCTTGTTGGGGGACTTTTGTGAGCTATAAATAGTGTATAGAAATTGAAACATTTTATAAATTATGCAAGATGGGATACATAGCTATTTTCAATTTTTAATTATGCTATTCTTAAT